AATTGTTGGTTAGCCATAAATAAATAAATAAATAATTGATAATCATGAGATTGCGGTCCAATTATGTTTTTACCACACTACTGGGAATGAAATTACGTCAGCTAGTAATTTTTTTTAAGGTGACATTATTTCAAAAAAAAAATGAAAGAGAAGATGTGTTATTGTTTCTATACATATATTTTTTTCGGTACATTGCCAATTGATATCGCAATTGATATTTATTGATATTGATATTTACGACACCCACGGGACAAATAGGGGTGGTGACACTCCGTATAAAATGATCTAAATAATAACTGGCAAAAAAGTAGATTAAAGTGTAAAATATATATAAATGGACATTAAGCGAGCGAAGCTAGTTAATTTTGTACAGAATCTACCGTAACGATCAATACCAGTAATAAGAAACTGATTTGACAGACAATTGACGTAATACGGTTTAGGTATAATTATATAATGAGGGCTATTTATTATAAGTCCCAATCATGAGTCATTAACATATCGAACTTGTCGTAAAATTTTATCGTGTAAGTAAAAAACCAATAATTCTTTTTTTTTAAGACAATTTAGAGCGACGAATCATCCAAATTTAAAATTTAAAGATCATTACTATTATATGATAGTTAATGTTCTTGCGTCATGATAAAAAACTGATAGTTTTTTAAAGAGAATAATGAAAAAGTATGCGCAACGTTCTAGTAACAGACGATAGAGATGACACTATACGAAATATGAAGGATATGAACAAATATGGCTGCAAAATATTAAATGTAAAATCAAAGTATTTTTACACAACTGCGGCACAGGAGTGTTGTGTTTATCGAGTGTATATGTGTATGTTTCTGTGGTATGCCACGCTACGTAGCCGGCTTGATGGATTTTGGCGTATAAGGTGTAGTTAGATTAATCTTAAATTGTGAGAGAGACATTAGGAATTTACAGTAATAAAAAAAATACAGTCGAATTGAGAACATCCTCCTTTTTTTGAAGTCGGTTAAAAATTAAGTTTGCCGCCCGTTTGTAAATTTTAGGTTTTTTTTTTTTCACTCAGACGGTGTTTAGAAAAGTAGGATATTAAAAAAAGCGTGTAGTTGATTTACAAAAGGTTCGCGCGGTGTAACGCTACTCAAAATTTTTTGAAATCGGTCGGATATGCACGCGGTGTCTATACTAAAATTAAGGAAAAGAATTGTTCTGTTCGAATGCGCGTGGTGTCGCAGTGCTGTATTATTTTGTGTGACGGTTATTGGCTAGCTGGACTGGACTAGAGAACACGGCCGTGACCTGTAGAGCACCGGATGCTGGTTACGGAAATACATAATAAATTTGTGACTACACTGGTAACGTAGTTTATTAATATATTTATATACAACACATTTAGATAGGGCACATTTACACATCACAGGGTTCCGAACAGAAGACGGATCAGCCTCACTGGTAAGTGGCTAAATTCTTCTCTTATACAGCTCCGCGCTATCGCGGACGGGTTGGGATCGCGGGAGAATCCCACGGGTATTTCGTTTTTCAATAATTAGCTTGCAATCCCTTCTTAAGTTATTTCAAAGTAATGAGCAATGTCGTAAAATGAAAATGTAAAAGTAAAATGCAAACCTATTAAATTTTATTTTTCGTAACTTTTGTGGTTGTTTTTTGTTGTCACACTTTGTACTACTAATAGTTTATTACTTTTATTGGAGCCTAATATTCACTTTATTTGTTATATTATTCATATATGCCTAATTTTACAGGGTTACTGGTAAAATCGACCTAGCTAGGATTGGGATTTGGTATTTCGTAGTGAAATCTATCAGCAAAGATGGCAACTACAACCCTCTTAAGTATCTATGTAGATTTGACCAGTAACCTATTATAAATTCAATTATGTCATGATTTAAAACTTAACTATTAGAAAAACACTTCAGTTTCACCCTCTAACTGTAGTTTTTTAATACGATAACAGTTCCCTGTTCCCCTCCTTTACATAAAAAGTATAGTACCGAAGTGAAACCAGAACACAGCGGAATTCACAGAGAGCAAATATCCATAGAATTGTTGTATTAAGAAATATGTTTGCACTTTGGTACAACAGAACTACTTTTGCAGGAATGTGAATTATACTAACTGCCTTACGTGGTAAAAGCACTTGGACAGAAATAAATAAAAGACTTAAGTAACTCCAGTTTCTTGTAATTTATTCTGTGAGAAAAGAGTAAACAGTGGAATTTAATAAAAGAAAAAGCAAATTACAGATCCATTTGTAGTGATATAGTAAAAAAAAATGTGAAATTGAAGTGAAATGAATCTGTGCTGTGCCTGAAATAGCTAATGAGGCATGGCTCAGGATGGCAGCCTGATCGCACTGAAAATGTTGCTAGGCTAATAGGCAGGGAGAAGCCTCTGGCTTTCCCTGAGATGGGGCCTAGTTAGGTGCGGCATTAACCTGGGGGACCCGAAATCACATGGCCCGGGTTCTCCCCAGAGCAGGGCGCCTAAGACTGGCCGTTGGTTTTTAGTGGAAACACCACATACTCCTGGCTCCTATATCCCCAAGGAGCAGGAGATCCGAAGGGATTTTCCACTCCGTCAACAAAGTTACATTCTCTTTGGCTAATTTGTGTAAACGCACATTTCGACTGTAAATTCAATGCCTTGTCAAGAGCTGCATTGTTCTTACTATAAATGTTTGATTATTATTAACCAGATTAGGCAACTACATAATATTTGTTGTACTGGCATTGATATACAAATTTTGTATATCAATGTGTACTGGTTAGCTGTGAGCAAGCCATCAGCGCGAGTCCAAATAAGCTGTCATCAAATGATTTATGCGTATTCTCGGACTCGGTCTGGCTAAGTGCTCGGTTCGATTCACGCCATTTGGTCGGCCACGTTAGTCATATTTCAACTTTGTGGTCAACGCTGGGGCTATGAAAACGGCGTTGAGCAGAAGAATTGTATACAACAATTACAGAGCTGAAGCTTCTGTATTTTTTTATCCGGGAGATAAGTGATAATAAGGGAGATATTGGGTTTTTGAAACACAGATTGAAATGGAAAATCTTATTCTATCTCTCGATATCTGAGAAATATTGTCAAGTCGAGTCGAGTCAAAAGTACCGGAGAAGGAGATTAAAGTAAGTTAAATTAGTTAACCGTGGGAGTTGCTGGCTGGCTCGACCGGAGTGATACCACGGCCTCACAGAAAACCGGTGTTAAGCAATTCTTTCGTTGCCTTTTACTGAGTGAGTGAGGTTACCGGAGCCCAAATCCCCCCTCGCGCTGACTTGAGTCCCGCGGGACTCCAAGGGCAGCAACGCACTTGTGATTTTGGAGTTGCAGGTGTCCATGGGCGGCGGTAGCTGCTTACCATCAGGTGACCCGTCTGCTCGTTTGCCCCTTATACCATAAAAAAATATAAATTATTGTAAATATTAAACAGAAATAAAGCTGATCAATTAAGAAAATATGAATTGAAGCTTTACGAGTAGTAAGCCGAAACTAGATAGGCCACGTCACTGAGTGGAAGTAACCACTGTTGGTGAAGAAATAGTTGTTGTAAAGCGAAACGTAAGAGTTAAAACTCTTTGTCTGTTAAAGGACCTTATTAAAATAGCAGCACGCTGTGCTGAAGTCAAGGAGTAAAGTGCTGAAACCACTAGATGATAAATACACTAAACTAATCTTTAGAAAAGACTTAAATATATTCAAAAGCAAAGGATGTGATTGTTTTACGCTACTGCGATATAATTCAACTGCTTGTATATGTATTGGTTATGGTGAGATTTCATCAATGTCTTAGGAGCTGAGAAAATCTATTTTTTTAATTTTGTTTTATTTTGATTTTATATCTCTTTAATGAAGAATAATATTTTTTTATTTCTACTGCCGAATACGCTTTACTACTTGTATATGTCTGCATCAACAATTCTAGATTATTGGTAGTGATACTGGGTAATTCTCTTCGCTAATTTAAGAGCTCCACAAGAAATGCCATCAATGCTAAAAGCTCACAAACAAATTCAACTTATACTGTAAACTACGAGTACATAGCCTATTCCATTAGGGATTGACACGCACTAGTAGTCTAAACTACCCATAGTTAAAATAAATATAGAAGATATATTCAATTGTACATGAGTAATCACTTTCAATTTTATTTTTTCTTAATTAGAAGAATTTTCCACCTGTTTTATGTACACTAAAGAAATATTGTTATGCACTAACATTATGTTTTTGAGATATCGAAGGCAAACGTGTCACCGGATAATACGTGACTACCCTCATCCATGGTCCCTTCAGTACAAACGTACTGCAGGGACTGGGTCATAATGATACAAGCAAAATTCGTAGCGTAGTTTAAATACTGCCGTTCTTTGATTGAAAGCAATTTCTAAACTGAAAGGTGAAACGTAACAAGGATTATTTACCTTGAGAATAGAATTGCAAGCCTATGGTGAGTTTTTACCTGAAGGCTTCGGGAAGGGTTATCAATCCCCTTACCAGAAGCAGGCCCGAGAAGAAGGCATAATGTTTCGCTCATCTCGTATCTAAAATTTAAAAATATTTTCTAGATTACACCTAAGAAAACCCACACGACTTTAAGACAGTACGAATCTAACATATTACTTTACTATTTATCAATGCTGAGGTGATTGCCGTGGTAACCACATACAAAAAATATATTTATAAGTCCTTCAAAATAGAATTCAAGGTCTAATCGCTATTTGTATGTAAATTTGGTGGTTACATGATGACTAAATTATAAAGGGGGTTCATTTCCTGAACTACTTTTTTGATAATTGTAAATTTAAAAGTATGATCACAAAGTAATCTCAAATTAAAACAGCTCCTCACATGTTCTAATCAAATTAACTATAGTTTCACGCCTTTTTATCTTACAATTTTAAATTAAGCACTGGGTATCTGACAGTATAAAAGTGCATACCAAGTGAGTAGCAGCTTACAGTTTGTACTAGATATTTAATAAATAAGGTTTGAAAATGAAAACTTCATTACTTGTAAGTAATTTGAAATTTTATTTATTTTTAATTTACTTAATGGTTGTTAACGATCAATAAGAATAGCTAAAACCAGGGTTTCTGATAATAACTTTGTGTAAAATATTGTATAGCTTATATGAATTTCTGATAAAATTTTGCTAAATTTTATTTTAAATTTTTACTCATTATGATCTTCTTATTATTCCTGACAAGTACTAGTTGTTAGGCTGAAATATTGACATTCAATATTTGATCTAATTGCAGATAACATCGAGCTTAGCATTTTCAATGCTGATCCAAATTGAGCCAGTATTTGGAAAAACGCTACATCCACCTAATGTACATCCGCCACAAGGAAGTTCCTCTAACGGCATAATCATATTGGCACCGATTAGCAAAGAAAAATTCAAGAGTTGTCGAGAATACAAAAGTGGCTTTTTTAAGAGAATAATAACTTTATCAGGATCGCTTGTTAACGAACAAAATACGTTGACGCCATGTGAAACAAATCAAACTGTGTCTACTGAATTTGAAAGTATAACAGAGACGTCAATTAGTAGTGAGTCTTCGGAAAATCTATCTAACACTACTGAAGTAACATCAATACTGCCGAATAGTTCAACTTCGCCCAGTGAGCCCGGTAATACTCAATCTTACACAGAAGTTCCTAGAACTGGCGCACAAACATCAGCTACGTCCAGTAATACTGAAAGTACATCAGAGAAGTCGAATAAAAGTGAGACTTCGGCAAATCCATCGAATACTACTAACGAAGTATCTGAAATGCCGAATGGTGCAACTTCGGCCAATGAGCCCGCTAATTCTGACTCTTCCACAGAAGTGCCTAGCAGTGGCGCATCATCATCAGCTACGTCCAGTAATACTGAAAGTATAACAGAATCTACAAATAGTAGTGAGTTTTCAACAAATCTATCAAATACTACTAACGTGGCATCGGGAATGCCTTACAGTGCAACTTCGCCTAATGAGCCTGGTCATTTTGACATGTCCACAGAAGTATCTAGCAGTGGTGGACCATCATCAACTACGTCTAGTAATTCTGAAAACACATCAGAGCCGTCAAATAGTAGTGCTTCTTTGGCAAAGCCATCAAATACTACTAACGTATCATCGGGAATGCCTTACAGTGTAACTTCGCCAAATGAGCCTGGTAATATTGACTCTTCCACAGAAGTGCCTAGCACTGGCGCACCATCGTCAGCTAAGTCCAGCAATACTGAAAGTATAACAGAATCGTCAAATACTAGTGAGTCTTCAACAAATCTACCAAATACTACTAACGTGTCATCGGGAATGCCTTACGGTGCAACTTCGCCAAATGAGCCTGGTAATTTTGACTCTTCCACAGAAGTGCCTAGTACTGGCGCACCATCGTCAGCTACGTCCAGGAATACTGAAAGTATAACAGAATCGTCAAATACTAGTGAGTCTTCAACAAATCTACCAAATACTACTAACGTGTCATCGGGAATGCCTTACGGTGCAACTTCGCCGAATGAACCTAGTAATTTTGACATATCCACAGAAGTATCTAGCACTGGCACACAATCATCACCTACGTCCAGTAATTCTGAAAGTCAATCAGATATGTCGAATAAAAGTGAGCCTTCGGCAAATCCATTACATACTGCTAATGAAGCATCGGAAATGCCGAATAGTGCAACTTTGCCCAGTGAGTCCGCAAATTCTGACTCTTCCACAGAAGTGCCTAGCAGTGTCGCATCATCGTCAGCTACGTTCAGCAATACTGAAAGTATAACAGAATCGTCAAATAGTTGTGAGTCTTCAACAAATCTATCAAGTACTACTAACGTGTCATCGGGAATGCCTTACAGTGCAACTTCGCCGAATGAGCCGAATAATTTTGACTCTTCCACAGAAGTGCCTAGCACTGGAGCACCATCGTCAGCTACGTCCAGGAATACTGAAAGTATAACAGAATCGTCAAATACTAGTGAGTCTTCAACAAATCCACCAAATACTACTAATGTGTCATCGGGAATGCCTTACAGTGCAACTTCGACGAATGAGCCTGGTAATTTTGACTCTTCCACAGAAGTGCCTAGCACTGGCGCACCATCGTCAGCTACGTCCAGCAATACTGAAAGTGTAACAGAATCGTCAAATACTAGTGAGACTTCAACAAATCTACCAAATACTACTAACGTGTCATCGGGCATGCCTTACGGTGCAACTTCGCCGAATGAACCTAGTAATTTTGACATATCCACAGAAGTATCTAGCACTGGCACACAATCATCATGTACGTCCAGCAATACTGAAAGTGTAACAGAATCGTCAAATACTAGTGAGACTTCAACAAATCTACCAAATACTACTAACGTGTCATCGGGCATGCCTTACGGTGCAACTTCGCCGAATGAACCTAGTAATTTTGACATATCCACAGAAGTATCTAGCACTGGCACACAATCATCATGTACGTCCAGCAATACTGAAAGTGTAACAGAATCGTCAAATACTAGTGAGTCTTCAACAAATCTACCAAATACTACTAACCTGTCATCGGGAATGCCTTACGGTGCAACTTCGCCGAATGAACCTAGTAATTTTGACATATCCACAGAAGTATCTAGCACTGGCACACAATCATCATGTACGTCCAGTAATTCTGAAAGTACATCAGGGATGTCGAATAAAAGTGAGTCTCCGGCAAATCCATCAAATACTGCTAATGAAGCATCGGAAACGCCGAATAGTGCAACTTTGCCCAGTGAGTCCGATAATTCTGACTCTTCCACAGAAGTGCCTAGCAGTGTCGCATCATCGTCAGCTACGTTCAGCAATACTGAAAGTATAACAGAATCGTCAAATAGTTGTGAGTCTTCAACAAATCTATCAAGTACTACTAACGTGTCATCGGGAATGCCTTACAGTGCAACTTCGCCGAATGAGCCTGGTAATTTTGACTCTTCCACAGAAGTGCTTAGCACTGGCGCACCATCGTCAGTATGCAGTCAGTAATGCTAGTAAAAGCTCATCAAATATAGATGCTATCTCAGAGACCTCACAGTTACAACAACAACACAACAACAGAATCTATAGGCTCATAAATATATCAAATTTCTTGCCGACCGTCCATGTGTCAGGTTTAGGTTTTTTAATGTGAGATAAATCATGTTATATACACACATGTTTATACACTTTTCCAATTGCTTGCTCAACATGTATTAAGTACGTCTACTTAAGTATCTTTCAAAGAATAAGACATGGCTGTTTTTCTAGTGAATAGAACGCCTGACTGCTAAGAGAGATCATGGCTTTGATTCTCACCCAGGTTTAATTTCCTGCATTTAGGATCAGTAACTGTTAGATCAAAAAGGTAATTAATAATAAGACCAATATTAAGTTGTAATAAGCACGATTTATAGCACTATATCATGTCTATATGTTCTGTGTTTGTGTATAATTTATCTAAAATATTAGTAATACATACCTATATATAAATATGTCAATCAGAAAACTGGTTCTTATAGTAAAGGCTCTTCTTACTTTTTAATTAGACGTGTGTAAAGTTACTCAAGTTTCCATGATTGTTATTGTAAAACTTGAAAATTATTGCATTAGTTTGGTCCAAACTTCAAGTTTGTTATTCAAAACTATTACTCTGTAAATTAAGATATGAAAATGAGCATCATTTTCCACTCCTAATCAAAGCGTAACCTCTGGTTTTGAGCATTATAATTATTTGGGACTACTTTAGTTTATAAAGCCACTAACCCGGAGGAATTTACTAAAGGTCTGAACTTAATTGCGGTTCACTCGCCTCTAGGTCAACTACGGACTCACGTGTTATCACAAACCACACATACTTGTGGAAAGTAACATAGAATAAAGACATTTTTATCATCTCCCATTAAATAGTGTTATAATGTATAATCGTGCGTGTTAGGTTAGTAGTTTGTATTATGCGTTAAAAAATCTGACAGAATGTCAGATTTTTCTATAAATTTGTTTTGTTTTGGGTTTAGCTTGAATACATGGAAAATATTAATAAGCGATATATATTTAAAAGTTATTCTTAGCAATTAATGTATTTTTCTATTTTTGTAATATTATTGACGTCGTCAACAGTAAAATGTTAAAAATCTTTTTCTAACAATAAATTTCTACACTTTTGATTAAACGACAATTTATTTATTTCCTAGTTACAAATTTTGTAACTGCGTCACTTTGCGAAGTTTTTTTTTTAAGTTTATTTTAAATATCGAATACCCTATCCGCAAGTGAGCACCGACCTTTACGCAACTATTAATACATGTTTTAGTGTTAGCCTGTCGGCAAATTATTTAAACAGTGTTTGTGTAATTTTCCTCAATTTTGATTGCAGGAATATTTTCTCTGTTTCTTTATTTTGTATTCTGCCATAAAACATGTACGTATATTACATAAAACCTATTTCTAGTCTTTAACATTAAGTGTTCGGAGACAACACTTTAATAAGTTTTAAATTGGAATTTCCGTAAGAGATTATTTTCTAATCTATCTACTTTAGATATATTAGAAAATAAGGCTTTTCTATTAAACTCTTTTTATAGAGTATTTTACACAGTTACGTTTAATACAGTATGATGATTTAGGATTTTATACAGATGTGACACCAATGCATTTTCTCCGTCCGAATCATGACGTTCTGACCGGCATGTTGATATAATAGGTAGTGATCCTAATTATCCGTCGTGGGTCTAATAATACTAACAAATAATTTTGCAATGATGATGTGGTGTCGTAAGAGCCGACTAAGGGAGCAACTTCACAGGACAACACCACTGCAGAGAGAAGGCAAACTTGACACAATCCCTGTACTAACCCGTCTGGCCAGCATGGTACAGTAGGCCAAAACCTCCTTTCTAAGGAGAGGCCTATGTCCAGCAGTGGACTATTAAGGGCTGTTGATGATGATGATGATGATTACTTGTTCTGTGTCTGAGAGATATATGAATTTACAAGTATATAGTAGTTTATTAGCAATCTGGCCCCCATAGTACTGGCTAGCTTAGGATCTGACGGCCGTATGTCAGGTGTCTTACATCACATCACATCAACAGTCTTTAACAGTCCACTGCTAGACATAGGCCTCTCCTTAGAAAATAAGTTTTGGCCTACTATACCACGCTGGCCAAACCATTTGGCGTAGGGACGACTTTCATAACTCTGTAGGACAGCCATAATGAAAAAATTATAATAGAAGTCAATTGGAAATTCTTCGCTGTTGTGTTAATGAAAACATCATCACTCGAACAAAAAGCCAACAACTTATTTATCCCTCTGCCAATATAAAAAAATCTTGTTTACTTACGTTATTGATAAATCTATGACTCAAAGTAGATTTTGCAAATATTCTCAGTATTGGCAATGTTCAAAGAAATACATCGGGTTCTCATTAACCCCTCTTGTGAGCTCAAAGGAATGCAGGCAGCCATTTTCTATTTGTAAAATACAAAACTATTCAAGTTCTACGGTTCCTAAATACGTATGTACGTGAAGATTTTTCTTGCCAAAGGTTCCTTAGATCTATTTTCTAAACCAAGTTAGCTATGATATTTAATGTTAGTAATATTTTGTACATAATTTTGTATAAATTTTCAAATCAAACAGCTGTTTGAATGTTTGAACATATTCTAGGTTGTAACCGATTAAGTTAACACATTGCAAACTAAACAATCCTAGCCAAGTCAATCTATGGATGGGTGAAATTTCTTAACACATTGAGACCCCTCCGTGCCTCGGAGAGTACCTTAAGCTATCGGTCGCGGTTACCATAGGAGCATCTGTGGCAATCGTTACAGATAGTTAGAGCCCTAAAAAGTCCGACAAAAGACTTTCTACAGAAAAATCGAAGTTCAGACGTATCGCTGTAGACTTAAACCACAACAACATAGACAACATAGTTTGGGAAAAAAGACTCGGAGGAAGAAGAAGGATTTAGAATAATGCGAAGACGGTCGCGGAATTGTTTCTACTAGTAGATTATACCTAACTCTGGAATTAGGTCCACTTGTAATGAAACACCATATAATTTGTATTACAACTAGTCGGTTTAACATATCTTGGTCCAGCAAACCATTTAACCGTCAGTCCCATTCTAGGTGGGTAATAGAAAAGGCGCATTCCACAAGCGTTTACTTCTATTGTGGCTCTGACTTAAACAGGCGAGCAACTCCAAATAGATACCATTTTTTTTACTACTTAATTATTGTTATTATATTTGTCTGATATTTGACTAATAAATCTGATTGTTATTAATTTATGTATTGCATGTTCTGTAGGTATCAGCTTCTGACGAAAAATTTGCACGCCTACCAGGTAGAATATGACGAACTTAAAACCATTGTTAATATAAACTGTCCAACCCAGTACTCATATTCATGCAAATAAATGATTTTTATTATTATTACACTACTGGGAGTATCACTTACACATGTGAGAGCTAGACTTCGGCACTAATGGGCCGGCTCGACCGGAGTGATAGCACGGCCTCATAGAAAACCAGTTTTAAGCAATTCTTTAGTTGATTTCCACCGAGTGAGTAAGGTCACAGGAGCCCAAGAGGCCAAGCTCTTCCACAAGCTGGTTCTAGATAGATGACTAAAAGGGCGACAATGCAATTGTGACTCTTGAGTTGCAAATGTTCATGATGGCTGTAGTTTCTTTTCTTTTAAAAAGACAACTCCCGTATTTATATCGTGTGCCGCGGGGGACTTTACAAACATATGTATGTTTGTAAAGTTCCCGGCGGCCACAACGGTCACAAAGAACACCCAGACTCAAAACAACAATTTGTGGATCACACAAAGTGTTGGCTCATGTGGGGATCGAACCCACAACCGTCCGACCGCTTGAACCATAACGCCATCCGTACAGTCAATCAGTTACTCAACGTCAGTTTTTTGGTGCCTCAATTCTAGTATTTTAATATTCTATCAATAAACTGTCGATGTCGTCGTAATAGTTGTGCACTTTTCCTATTCTACTGACTATGTAAGGCATACTGATATTTTGACTGATGTCAAAGGCATCTAAATAGCGTGTGAATGGAATGACAGTAGCTTGGTGTTAACATAAAATAGCAGAATTGAGACCCGGTTTGCTCCTTTGTCCTCTAGTATTGTGTAATAATTATACAGTTGAATACAATCACCAGAGTTCATTGTTAGTATGAGAATGGCTAGCAACACTTAATACCACCACATCCAATAGAATTTAAAGTGTTTATAAATGCTTGATTTAAGCGAGCAACGTGCTTGTATGCTAATTAAATTGGATTGATGGAATTAAAGATGTTAATTTATTCATTTGATTAGAAACTGGTTTTCTAAAAACAAAATTGAAATTTTACTAACGACAGTTAACTAATAGCTAATAGTTAACTAATATCATAGTTGAGTAGACTAGAAAATAAGTTAAAACTTCTTAAGAGTTTGGTGTTTCTGCTTGTCTAAGTCTTAGAAAACCATTGTTTAAGCAGCAGTCATTTATTTTATAAGGAGGAGAGATTATCGTTGTCATGAGAATTGAAGCATATGACGGGCATTTTTAATTGTTTTAAATTTATTTTTATTCGAGGTCACCAAGGTTTATGAGAACACATTACACTTACTACTACTACTACACACACATGTATGTTATGTTTACACTACGTCATCGTGAATACTCTTCGCGATAGTTCCAGCAAATATTAATAGCAATTTTGAAATCCAGCTGCACCAATACGTCAGGTTTTTTGTGGTTTCGACTTTGTTTATTTTGGGCTGAAAAATGAAGTCGTGATTTGAGCCCATCAAAGCATTCCCTTCCAAAATTTACTAATTTTAGAAATATTTTTCATAACGAGAAGAAGAACTTAGAATACAGAGGGAAACTAAACTTACCAGAGGAAATTTGTTTCTTTGTTAAAATTCCAGATTTTGACAGTGAGAGATTTTAGTAATTCCGAATCACCTATAATATGCTCTATCAACAAG